CCCTCTCTCTTCCTCTTCTGGGATTCCTATGATACGGATATTGTTGCGTTTGACCGTATCACTGAGCTCTCGAAACTTGTTTCATCTTCCTGGATTAGTTTGTCTCTTTTTTTTTTGGTCAGTTTCTTCTTTTTCTATAATGGTATCTTCTAAATCACTATTCTCCTTTCTGCCTCTTCAATCCGTGCATTGGACGCCTACAATTTTTTATGTATCTCATTTATTGCAGTTTTTAATTCATCATGCCTATTTTTATGCTCTGTGTTGTTTGTAGCCATAGTTTCTTTGATGTCCTCCATGCTTTTTTCCAGCCCAGCGATTAATTTTATGATTATCGTTCTAACATCTTGTTCAGTTATGCTGCTTATATCTGTTTTGACCAGTTCTTTAGCTGTCAATTCTTCCTGGAATTTCTTTGGAGGAGAGCTCTTTCGTTTCGTCATTTTGGTTAGCTTTTTATCTCTTGTTAGTTTTAAAGACTTGTTATGCTCTCTGCAACTGTGAGCCCTGCTGTACCCAAGAAAACTCTTTGACTGTCCAGGGCCTATCCTTTCAGAAAGTGTTCTCTTTTTTTTTTTTTTTCCTAATGTTTTATTTATTTCTAGGAGAGAGAGAGAGAGAGAGAGACAGCGTGATCAGGGGAGGGTCAGAGAGAGAGGGAGTTACAGACTCTGAAACAGGCTCCAGGCTCTGAGCTGGCAGTCAGCACAGAGCCCGACGTGGGGCTCGAACCCATGAACCGCAAGATCATGACCTAAGCGTAAGTCGGACGCTCAACCGACTAAGTCACCCAGGCACCCCCAGAAAGTGTTCTTTGAATGGTATCTCTTGGTCTCTCTTGTTGAGACCTTGGTTATTTTATTTTCCTACTCACAGTGATATTTGGGACTCTCCACCATGTGTACTTTAGCTTGTTTCTTGAGGTAGCCCTGGAGAAGAAAACAGACAGACAGACACACAGTGAATAGAGGCACACAAACGCACAGACAATCGAACAAACATGCAAACTGAGAGGGAAAATGAAAAAGTAAAGAGAAAAGACGGAGGAGGGAAGGCGAATAATAGAAAATAAAAATACATAAAAAAGTCGAAAAGAAAAGGAAAAAAGAAGAAAACCTATAGACAAAGAATGGTTTAAAGCATATAACCAGATTTCCCAGCTACAATTAAATAGCCGGGTGTATGCAGTGCTGGTTGAATAGCATAGAGAAAGAGAGAGATGACAGGGCGGGGATGAGGAAAAATTGGAAATAGAATGAACAGACAGAAGGGACAAGAAGCTTTCTTCAAAGAGCTAAAAGGTGGAATATGGTTGGAGAGGTGAGAGAAAGACGCTGGTGTTAAACAGAGAAACTATATAGTCTGATTACTCCTGAGAGAAAGAGATGAAGATGTCGGTAGGTGTAGAATTTACATCCACAGAATGGACTAAATGTGACTGTTTAAGCAAGCCAGTGACCACAGTTAATCATGTCAGTGCTCGGAAATAAGGAAAAAAAAAGAGGAGGGCAGCTCTCTAGCAGGGATGGGTGTGGTTCGATCCAATGCGTCAGGCAGGAGTTCTGCCTTGGCGGTTGTGGGGAGAAGAGTGGCAGCGCTCCAGTCCCTTCTTGATCCAAGCACTGCACCTCCCATTTTTGGATGTGTAAACTCCCCGGGCCGTGGGCGCAGCCAAGGTGGGTCGTGCTGTTTAACCCAGGCCAGGCCTCGTTTCCAAATCCCAGTCCGCGCGCCCCACTGAAATTGCCGTAGACACAACCTTGCAGGAGATCCCCTCCGGGCAATTCCAAGCCTCTTGCCTAGCCCTGGGGATTGAGCCAGAAACCGCTGCTCCCGTTTCCTCCAGGTTGAGCTGGCGAGCAAGGACGGGGTTTCACCTGGGGGGGTGCCTCGGGTCTGCGAGAGGGGAAACCAGGTCCCTCTGTGTCTTGTCATCCAAAACACGAACTCGCGGGCAAATCTCCCAGTTTTAAGCCCTTCGCCTCCCCTCTAGGGATCCAGTTGAGCCAGGATCACAGAGGCGCGCTCCTTATTACTGTCTAATTCTTACCTTCTAATTCAAAGCCTGTAGATCTAGAAAAATCTTTTAAATGCAAGTGTAAAAATACAAATCAAAACCACATAGAGATACCACCTCATGCCAGTCAGAGTGGCTAAAATGAACAAATTAAGAGACTATAGATGCTGGCAAAGATGTAGAGAAATGTGCACTCTCCTACACTGTTGGTGGGAATGTACACTGGTGCAGCCCCTCTGGAAAACAGTGTGGAGCTTCCTCAAAAAATTAACAATAGAACTCCCCTATGACCCAGCAATAGCACTGCTAGGAATTTACCCAAGGGATATAGGAATGCTGATGCACAGGAGCACGTATACCTCAATGTTCATAGCAACACTCTCAACAATAGCCACGACTTGGAAAGAGCCTAAGTGTCCATCAACGGACGAATGGATCAAGAAGTTGTGGTTTATTTATAGGATAGAATACTACATGGCCGAGAAAGAATGAAATCTGGCCGTGTGTAGCAACATGGATGGACCTTGAGGACCTTGAGTGAAATAAGTCAGGCAGAGGACAAATATCATATGTTTGCACATTTAGGAGGATTAGGAGGAACTTAATGGAAGACCTTGGGGGAGAAGAAGGGGGGAGGTAGTGGGGGAGAGGGAGAGAGGCAAAACATGAGAGACTCTTGAATGCTGAGAATAAACTGAGGACTGATGAGTGTGTGGGGGAAGGGGGGGAGATAGGCATGGAGGAGGGCACTTGTGGGGATGAGCACTGGGTGTTATATGGAAACCGACTTAACAATAAACTATTTGTATTAAAAAAAATAAAGCCAAATAATTTTTCCATAAAAAAAAGGAAGATGTGGTTTATCTATATGATGGAATACTCCATGGCAATGAGAAAGAATGAAATCTGGCCATGTGTAGCAACATGGATGGAACTTGAGGGTGTTATGCTGAGCGAAAGAAGTCAGGCAGAGAAGGACAGATACCATATGTTTGCATGTATAGGCGGATTAGGAGGAACTTAACAGAGGACCGCGGGGGAGAAGAAGGAGGGATATGGTGGGAGAGGGGGAGAGAGGCAAACCATGAGAGACTTTGAATGCTGAACAAACTGAGGACTGATGGAGGTGGTGGAGAGGGGAAGAGGGTTGATGGGCATGGAGGAGGGCTTTTGTGGGGATAAGCACTGGGTGTTATATGGAAACAAACTCTACAGTAAACTATTTTGAAAAAACAAAAGCAAGTATACATCTGATCCCTTTTTTGTGAAGTGTACACTTTGTACATGTTAGGTTTCAACCTAGAAGTTTCAGCTTATTTGAAAAACTAATCACAGTCATTTTAGTCTACATTTAAACTCCCTCTTTACAATGTAAAAACATTATGCACAAATCTATTCAGAATAGCCCGTGATTTTATTGGTGATATGTATTTAAAATTTTACAAATACAGATACATTAGAGTAATACAGTACACACATCAGTGACAGTATGCACACCAAGCACATTTCTGTACACAGCGCAGATATCAATGCTCAGAATATCATCAGATCCCCGAAGCCCCCATTTGCTATTCCTCTCCATCACCACTCATAAGGGAAACACTGCTGAACCTCTAGCTTCATAGAATGCTTTTCCTGTTTTGTATTTTATATGAAGAGGATTCATAGACGATTAAGTGTTTTGTATTTGACTTTTAATGTTTCTTATGTTGTTTGGGATTTTATGGTTGCATATTGCTATGGGTCATCCCCTGGCATTGCCGTTATAGGATTCCCTGAGAGAATATCAAACAATTTATTGTTCTAGTCTTACTGAGAGTGAGTCTATAGCAACAAGATTTAAGGAAGGATTTTCTGAATTGGTTCATTGGTGTCTGGAATTGGCTTTCTAATCTGAATAGATTTAAAATTGCCAAAGAGTGCCCTGATAACCCATTACAGAAAATCTGCCCTGGAGACTCGTAATCAGCCACTTGAAGAAGTAGAGATATGATTGAGTGTGTGTTTATATTTGCACCGATTTTTGGAGAGCTAACAAACAGGATAACATTGGCTGGTTTCTCTTAATGTTGTTTAAAGAAGCGAAAGTGCTGAGCTTGGAGATTTAAATTCCGAGCTGAAGACCTGTGTAAATGATCCCAAGGGCTGTGTTTGCCCTGAAGAAGAACGGAGCCTATATATCCAAACCCTGTTCTTGCCCATGTGGTCACGTCATCTTAATATACTAGAGAAAAGTCTGCTTTCTCCAGATCAGAACACATTTTTGTTTACGTTGTCAACAGTCACTTGAAGGTCTTTAAATATCAGCGGAAAGGTATTTTGCATTTTGTGCCTTCCTTGGTCTCAGTCCTCTTTAACCCATCCATTTCTATATGAAAATATGATCAACTCACTCATCTCCCTTCATAACATCATGTTTCAAATGAATCAGGGACCACTCTCTAAGGGTGTGAATTACCTACAAAACTTATAACTGGCTCCCAGAGACTATACTGCCCAAGAATGGATTTTTCCTCCACCACGCCTGACCAGGCCTATTCTTTATGCAGTGAGGACATTACTTTCTCAGAGGAATGACAAGGACACCTGCTAAGCCATGTTCATATACCTTTTCCTATAATGTCAAGGCAGTTTCTTTTCTTGGAAATATGTTGCTTTTGACTGAAATTCACAAGTTTGAAGACTTCTCTGTAATATCCAGATTGTTTCAAGACCTGGTGTGTATTATTGCATAAATTCTGAAGTGGTTTACTGACAGTATTAGTAAAACTTAAATTATATGAGTATTTACAAGATAATGATGTCTCATATCAAAATTGGTATGAATTATTATTTATTTTAAGAAGATGGTCAACTTGTCTTTTTTGCCATTCTCACAAGAAGAAAAGATTTTTTCTCACAAGAGAAAAACTCAAAAAATTTTTGGACAGTGAGGGGGATGAATGAATTGGCAACTGTGCACCGTAGAGGTACATAGAGACTACTAATTTTTCATAAGACAAGGAGATTTTAACTTCCTTATCCAAGCAAAGCAGAGCTTGGATATCTTGTGTACCTTGGAGTTGTGGCCCATGAGCAGAAAGGGGCTGACAGATGGGAAACACTCAGACAAGTTTGAAGCAATGCTCATGAGAAGTGAGCTGGGATTATCAAAAATACTCAAAGCAGTTTGAAAGATAGAGGAGAGGGTGTAAAAATAGACAAAGGTGCTCACCAGGAGGATGGTTTTTGTGGCTTTGGACTCTGGGGAGGATCCAGAGGAAGCGTTGGTTCTTCTAATATGTTGGACCTGATTCTTGTGCCTGTACAGAAGGAGAACCATGGAGCCACTGGCCCAGAGCATGAGCCCCAAACATAACACGTCAGGGAATGATAACAACACTGCTTACAGTGAGTCTCCAGTTTTGTCATGTCGAACCGAAGAACAGTATACAAAATTCTTTTTTACTGTGATGTTCTTATCGTTCAGTGTGCTAGTTAAGTACATAGGAAAAATGATATTTACCAACATTTGAAGAATCCAACACAGGAAAATAGAGGGGAAAATGTACTTGGGAGCTTTAACTTTAAGCTCTGCCCACCTGGAGTTCCCGGGACTGATCGTGATGGCCTGGTACACATTCAGGATGCAGATGCTACCAATGGACATCCCCCTCCCCACTCTGTGAAGAAAGAAAAGAAGTTTGCATCCCAGGTCACTGAGGAAATGTTTCTGCCCAAGTGCTGCCATGGTCTGGGGGACTCCTTTACAGAGCAGGGCTAAGAGGTTGGCTACAGTCAGGTGCTTATGAATGAAATCTGTGGACTTCCACCTGTACTCAGTGAAGGAAAGGATGATATAATGACAGAGAAGTGAGAAATTTCCCAGGATTCCAACGATAGTCTGTATTAAGAAGATCAGACCGATTGCCAGATCCCTGTTGGCCATTGCCTCAGTTCCCAGTCACTGACAGTTGCCTCCTGGGATAGAATTTCCTGTCTGGGAGTATGAGGCATGTGCCACATATATCATGTCTGCCGAAATCCAATATGTTCCACTTTCCATTCCTTGCCCCCTGGAAACACCTACTTAAGGTTTTCTTTTTGTAGTTGCTTTCCACGTGCTGAATGTAGAACTGTAAAGAGCCCTTATAATATAAAAGCACTCCTGTGAAGGCACTGATGTGAGAGCTTCTTCATACTTCACAAATCTTTGAGGTCGGCACTGCTAAGGCTGTAACTAAAAGATGAAGAGAACAGACACACAGAGGCGTTCAGGATCTGTCCAAATCTGATCCTTCAGGCTGTGTGGGGACTGGGAACCGGCTGGGCTGGAAGCAGTGAGAGTGCACTGAGCCTCCATGGTCTGCTAGACAGCTAGTCGGCTGTGTCCATCCAGTAATCAGATCCATGGTTACTTTTGTTTGACACCTTGTGGTTTATTTCAGCGTGGGGGTATTATATAATTTTCATTACAACAAGTTTCAATTAATTTGTAAAGCTTTATTCAACAGGATAATATCAGTTATGGGTAAGCCTTAAATACCTCAGTGAACGCATGCACTCTGGCAGTAGCATGCTGCAGGAACCTGTAGTCATATGTAGTAGATGCAAGATGGGCTTGTAATACGATGGCAACAGAAAGACTTGTGTGCTTTTTTTTTTAAAGTAGTTTATTGTCAAGTTGGTTTCCATATTAACACCCAGTGCTCATCCCCACAAGTGAAGACTCATGTGCTTTTATGTGAGGAACACAAGTGTAATGGAAGCAACCACTGGAATTGTTGAATTATCACAATAGTCCCATAAATTTCGGCCCATAAAACACTGATGCATGATAAATTGGTGTAAGGCAGATCTAAGTTATTCTTAATTTCCAGTGATACACTATTTACTTATTAGTGCATGAGTTAAGGAAAACTATTAACAATGAACTAAGATTTGTGAAATATTAAAACACATCACTGTAAAATCACATCTATAAGGCATGTATTCTTACACACTTTAGGATTCAAAGTACTCGGTTTTTGTATTGATAGTAGATTTGTTTTTAAACACATGGAAAGAACATGATATGACCCTGAAAGCTGCTGTCTGAAAATCATCGTTTTTATGTCAACTGTTCCTTACCTGTTCATTTTCTAACTTTCAGAATGAGTATAGTTTCACTGTAATCAACAGATAATATATTTTCCATGGAGACTCAATTACGTTCCCATAATTGCATGCTACATCCAAGGTTACAGGAAACCTTTCAATTCAAGACATTACTATTTGGATACACTTCCTGCACAGGATCAGATGATTCCTGTAAATCCTTCATACATTTCACTGCAACCATGGAGCTGTGAAAGGTGCACATCTAGAAACCCTGAAAATCTAGTCTGCAGTTCCTATCATGTAGAACAGGAGATTGGTTTTACAATTCTTTACTTAAGGACTTAAAAATCGGTGTATATTATTACTTGCACCGAACACCAGCAATCACATTGAGCAAAGGTTAACTTCATTGAATTAAGAGCTATCAGGGACTGGTGAAGGTCTAGGACCCCACCTCCTCTTTACTAGCTCAGCTCAAACCTCAGAATTATTGCACTTTCCTGCATGGCTTTCACAGTGAATTAGGTAATCCACAGACTGTTGCTCTTTTCTGATATGATCACTCACCCAGACTCTTGATACAGACACTGCCTGTTAGACTGAAATAGATCCTCACCAACTCCTTCCTGCTGCCCGAGGGGCTCCATGTGAAGGGAATGGCAGCCAGTGAGAGGGGCCAGCCAGACCCAGAGACATAGGTTTATGATTCTGGAAGGTCACCTCTCTCACAACTGCAATTATTTCATTTATAGCTGCACTGGGAATACAAGTTTGGGAACTGAAGTTGTTCCTGAAACTTTTCTCTCATTTGTTAATTATGATGAACAATTATGACTTTCTAGTTAGAACCCTGTAGGACACTGTTGGAGTATTTGTGGGAGGCTTGTTTTTTTCTGTGATCCCTGTAGATAGCCGTGTCTCCTGTTATTTATAGCAGGAAATACTGTGTTCTGACACATGAGGGATTAGTGGGAAAGGATCTGTGTCTTACTGAGTTCCTCCCTTCCCAGAGAAGTTCCTCTATTCAGAAACTGGTACTTTCCTAATCCTCAGACCATTGAACGAAACTATCAAATTAAGGTTATTAGTAGAGAAACAGACTGAGACAAAATAGTTGAGAAGAATATGCAGAGATACAAGCAAAAGGAAGAAAATGATGTAAATAACTCAACTATAGAATTCATTCCACACAAAGTTAATAATATGACGTATTTGAATAATTCAGTGCCAATTAATATGAAAAGTGTGTGGGAAAACTGTTTTACCATTATTAACTCCATTGAGAAGAATTAAAGACTGAACAATAACGATAGAGGAAAGAGGGAAGTTTCTAAGAATCATAGGCTAAAGCAGTAGGATCAGATGGCTTAACCAGGAGCTTCTACCAACCTATAAATGTTGGATGAGCCCATCCTCAAGTACTTAATTCAACAGGATCAAAGTGTTCCAACAGTCTATACATTTTTTCCCCTGAATTTTCAATAAGGAGCACTTATTCCTTTGGTAAGAAGAAACACAAAGTAGGAGTTGAAACAGATCCAGTGGCTTTCCCTACAAACAAATCCACATTTTAAGTTCATTGTGCAGTTACTAGCCATTTTCAAATCAGAGCTATAATGGTGGGCAATTCAGACTGCACACAAACATTAATCATTTACACATTTATATACATTTGCAAACACACATGTGTATGTACACCCAACTTCAAATATACTCACATACTATTAGACACATACGTGGTCACTCATGTACTCACAACTGCAATTGAAACTTACAAATCCTGAACACTTACAGACTCATCCTCATTGACATTAATATTCACCACACCTTCACACTCACAGTTCACAGTTTAAAAAAATCAACATACACTTTCATCATGGGTGTTTCTCTTGATGATATGTTCAGATACAGAAGAAGAGGTGTACCTCCAGCCCTCTAGATTGTCTGGAGGCCTTTATTATCATTCGTAATGCTTTCAAGCCTGCAACTACCCGTACAGAGAATATTTACAATACACAGCCTTAAAAATTGCCTTGAGCATTACCACTCTAATTCGGATGTGTAGTGGGGACATTGGGGTGTGTGGGGCAGTGGCAGTGCATGGGTGTGTGACAGAGCAGGTGAGAGAAAGTGCATAGGAAAGAAGAGCATAGGGACAACATGGTGCTGCGGAGGTCCTCGGGTGAGGGAAGAAAAGAGCGCAGGAGAAGAAAGAAAGCAGATGGATAAAACACAAACTTGTGCTCAATGCTACAGGGGCATTGCCACGTTTGCAGGTACAAGGAGACAAAGTGTGCTGGGAAGTGAAAGGCATGAGACATATTGGAATCTTGGGGAAAAGAGGTGCAGAGTTTCATGGGATGGAAGGAGATAAAAATGGACAGTTGTAGCGAAGATGTTAATGGTAGTGTGGGTAGTTTTCTTTTTTTCATATTTTAATGTTTATTATTATTTTAAATAGTTTATTGTCAAGTTGGTTTCCATATTACACCCAGTGCTCATCCCTACAAGTGCCCTCCCCCATGGAGATGAGAGTTCTTAAAACCCCCCTTGGTGATCGTAATGGAAAGCCAACAATGGAGACCACTTTGCCAAACCTTGCCTCTCAAAAGTGTTGTATGTGAACCTGCATTTCTGTTGAAACAGAGTCTACAGGAGAGCCCTACTCTAAGAGACTGAGATACAGCTGCGGTCGGGCCCATGAATTACCATTTTCAGCAAGGTCTGTGGTGGTGCTGATGCTTCCCTCCCCAGAACCCCGTTTCCACAGCATCCCCTCACCCAATCGCTCTTTCAGTAGCACTGGAGAGAGCAAGCAGAGCACACCTGATCCTCTTACTTGCTAATGTCACATCTCAATACAAATACTGTGGACTCCTCGCATTTAGCAAATGCAGGGGAAGGAACGGAACCAGGACAGGTGACTCCTGTGGGGACGGAGGGGCTGCTAGAGGAAGAGACTGAGGGAGGACCCCTCGGGGAAGCCAGAGTACGCAGCGGCAGGCGCCAGGCCTTCGGAGGCGTTGGCCTTGTTGGGCGGCCTCTGCGCAGGTGCGAGCTTGGGTCTGGGCGTGTGGGCGTGGCTCCACCTCGGTGCCCAGCGCGCAAGTCCTACGAGGGTCAGGTGACCGTTGGGCTCCTGCGGACGCTCTGGGCTCTTCCAGGTGAGGGACTGGCTTAGAGCTGAGGTTAGTTCTCCGGGAATGTGGGCTGGCGGTGGTGCGGGAACGCTTGCGGCCCCCAGGGGGGGAGGGGACCGCGCGCTGCGGGCAGCCCGGCTCTGAGCTCACAGATGCCCCAGAGCCGCACGCAACAGGCGGGCGTCAGGGTCGCGTGTGAGGGACGGTTTCAGACTAGAGTCCTTGTGTCTTCGGTGACGAGTCCTAGGACCTGGTGCTGCCCTGAGGTCATCGCGGTTCGAATGGAGGTTGGTTCGCGTTCCCCGGGTGGGGTGGGGATGAGGGGGCGTTGCGTGGTTCGCCCTTTGGTGCGCACGCGCCAGGTTCTGGGCTGCTAGGAAGTGGGAATCAGCTAGGTCCCGGACCGCCTGGAGAGGTGAGTGCGCGTGTGAGTGCATAGACGGGGTTGTGCTTCCTTTTGTGGCTGCAGGTAGAACAGAATATGAGCCCTGCTCTGTGAGCGTGGGATGAAACGATCCTGTGAGGATGGTTGAGGGGTCCAGATGAGGGGCGGTGGGGAGGGGGGGGGCGCGGGTCTCAGGTGTGGACTATGGATACTGGGCGTGGCGGGGGCAAGATGGGCCCAGAGGCTTGGGCATAATGCGAGGTAGGTAAGGAGGCATGTGTAGCGGGAGGAGCGTTGTTGGGAGGCCTCAGCTGCAGTCTGGTT